GAGGACCATTATATCTGTGTTTCGCACTATACAGTCAGATCCTTGTTGCTTGGTGTGATTTAATTGCCTACCGACTGTGGTTGAGGAAAAGTAAACTTAAGTACTGTTCGATGTATTTAGCGCAGTCATATAGAAAGGAAAGGGTGTTTTCTAGTAATACCGAACGTGTGGCGTTTGTGTTATTAACAATTTAGACCTCGTACACTTCCTGGTTCGTGGGGAACCCTGGTGTTCCTACTGGGTTATTACATATATACATCAAGAACAGGTTTTATTTAGGACAGAGTTCTTCGAGGGTAATATTGAAGCGTTGATACATACTGGTATTAAAACAACAGATACTTTTCCTGCTAGCTTATTCCATTTTGAACACAAATCTATTTGTCTGACGTGGTCCTTGTCACGATCGACCACGTGCAGTCTTGTAAAAATCCTATGTTTTTATGCAGAGTCACCAGGAGTTCTCGTGTTGTTTCTTGTAAACATATGACGTGGATTTGCATGTGTTTGTGGCAGGTGCCTCCAGTGGGGCAGAATACGCTCACTTTTTCGCAAAATCTGGCATCAGCATTTTTTGGTAGTGATTCATGAACACAAGCTCATGATATAATCGGAATCGTACAAAGGATCCTGCTTTTAGCAGAGATTTCCTATGACTATGGAAAGGTTTTTGTCGCTTTTATTTACACTGCATCTGTAAATTCTTTTGTAGTGCAACTATCAAGACACAATCGACAACATTGACGTTTGATAACAAAATAACGCAACGTAAGACCCATGAAGATGCGGGGAAGAATAGGTCTTCAGCAACCCATGCTTGTCGTAAGAGGCGACAAACGGGATCGGGTGGGATGCTCGCTGACTTGGTTGATCGACGTCATCGCATCCCAATTGTGTGGATCGATGCTCATGATGTCAATCACTGGATTGTCTAGTCCAGATTCAATTATTTACAGACCGACGTTATATAGCTGGAATATTGCAAGAAAAAAACAAACAAAGTCATGTAAAGACACCTCTCTGCACAACATAGCCAGTTGTGGGCTAACTGTCGAGGTGAAAATCTATTTGAGATGGGAACATCTGAGCAAGGACATACGTGTTATGGTTCTGATTCCTGATAAAATGTTTGTGTTCTGTGCACTGACCGAAAAAGTTTACTAACTTAGTGAATTTCACTGTCCACCCAAACACTAAATATTAGTAACAGTAACAGTAAATATTTGCTAATTAGACTAGTAGGTGGCCTATCGTGGATAGATGAGTGAGTGAGTGAGTGAGTGAGTGAGTGAGTGAGTGAGCGAGTGAGCGAGTGAGCAATATTCCAGCACTATCACGGCGGGGGACACCAGAAATGGGCTTCACACATTGTACCCTTGCACCCATGTTTCAAAGAACTACTGGTTCTTATAGTGAATTATACTAATTTAATAAGTGAAATGTACTATGATTTTCAGTGGCATTTTCAGTTTATTTACACAATACTATAAAAAGTAATTGAGAGCTTAATAAAGCAAACAAATCTTGTTTCACAAGTCTGGCAAACTTCCCTTCTTCACTGAGTACACACTATAAAGTCAGTCATGAAACAATAACATTAACAAAGCCAATATATACCCAACACTCATCATCATCTCGTTGAACAGACAATGCCATTTAGAAAGTGGTTAAATGTAACCAGTGTTATATTTGGGATAGCACTTTCTCAGTAAAGTACAATTTCTCGTACTTTGTTTTCTCGTACGGGGCTCAACACCAAAAAGTACGAGAATCTGGACTTTACTGAGAAAGTGTTATCCCAAATATATCATCTCCTTGGTTGCTCACAATGTTGGGCGGTCGGGTAGCCTAGTGGTTAAAGCATTCGCTCGTCACGCCAAAGACCCGGGTACGATTCCCGACATTGGTACCATGTGTGAAGCCCATTTCTGGTGTCCCCCGCCGTGATATTGCTGGAATATTGCTAAAAGCGGCGTAAAACCATATTACTCATTCACTCTCAAAATGGTGAGCGTGACACCGACCAAGGCGGAAGTGTTATTAGGCCGTGGCGTGAAAACGAAACATGATACACTTTTCTCCACCTGGCAATTTACCAAGCTGGATAGTCAATTCGCTGTTTACTAACCTTCTGGTCGCAGTTACGAATTACGTTAGTAGAATTGACTAGGACTTTATCTCAGTATGTCAAATGGTTGTGTTATGTGTCTGTTGAGGAATTTTCCTCAGTTTACATTCCATGACAATGCATCACGAGTGAATGTTGGAACGTAAACAATAAATGTTTGCTTTGTCAACAAGGCAGATTGTCCAGAGTGACTCTGATCATCGCGGTGGAAAATGTGGACTGCCATTTATTAACATATATAGTTTGAACCTGTTTTTACAGTGATCACAGCTGTTTGATTTCAGCATTACTTTCGTAATATAAACACGCATAACCATATACTGTTAAAAAGGTTAACATATAAAGATAAGATCCTATCAAAATAGCGACACATTTGAGAACCTTCAGTCAAGTGACCGCGATGACACACGGTGTTCGCCCTATCCATACACATCCGTTATGAGTGCAGGTCAAGGTCGCAATATAGTGAATCTCAGAAAAGAAGGATATTGTCTTGCATGTCATGGCTTGGAATTACCTTAAGTCAGAAAACTAAATGCAGGATCATAGTTACTGAAGCATATCAGAACGATTTCGATCATATAGGAAATCCCACTAGACAAACTTAAAACTTAAACGATCATATCCCTAAAGGTGAAGTGAAAGTGCATTTGTCTGTTACCATTGGTGCATTGGCTCATAGATTAAACATATCCGTCTCTCCTGGTATATATGTGAATGGAAGAACGTGATGTGTCATTTATTTTTGGTAACAAGGTGTATCTATCATAAGTAAATTGAGATAATTCTACGTTGTATATGTGATTATGAAAGAAGTCATACAGATGTTTTACCGAATACTCAGTGTTGTACTGGTAATGCTGCCGCTGCGGCTATTACTCCTCCTACTTATATTACTATTACGTGTATCAAGTATTGTATCGTTTACCGAATAGCAATGTTATACCTGTCATCTTAGCAACACGAAGGACGTTTTCAAAGTGATATGCTATTGTTAAATGCGTTACACTTTCTGAGAGCTATAGATATCGTTTAACTGATCTAATTGATTTTGTTCCAGTGTTGAAGGAGAGACACAGCTGCCCACACCATCTACAGACGCAACATCAACACACCGTCCTGTAGAGACGACTGCATCAACCGTGCCCCATCTTCAACACGTCATGTGAACACGAACACCAGAACCCCAGAGACACGCACTGACGACCTTCACGTATACCTGCGTCGTTAAAAACAACTGCTACTTCTGCTACAACTACCACACTCACTACTACTACTACTACTACTACTACTACTACTACTGCAATAACTTCTACTAAAACTACATCTACTACTAACACCACCATCACCACCACCACTACAACTTGTACTATATGAAGCTTTCTTCTGATGATTACTACGACAATGATATGAGTGAGTGAGTTAAAATTTAACGTCGCATCGGCATTATTTCAGCCATATAGCGACGAGACCAAGTTTAATGTGTTCACAATTGAGTCATTTAAGCAAAGTAATATTTAAAATCAATTCATGTATACCATATTTAAAAACAATTTATGAAACATATTTGAGCATAGCAATACAGTTTTAAAAGATAATGATATGAATGATGATGTCTGTCAGTTGTCTTACATCCCAGAATCACTGTGCCATAATAATTAATTAACAACACCAAGTTTGAGTGGGTTAGACCAGCATCACATCCGGATTCAAAATCAAGGAACCACTTATACAGGAAATTTCGAAAATACAATTTATGGTCAGAAATCGTATTATTCTTTAGGGGGGTAATTCGCGTCACACAGACAAACGTATAGTGATTTCCTGAGGCATAGACCGGGCGTAGATTATCTTTGTTTACGCCTGATATGAATGGGAATATTAAATCCCCCACAAGAGCTCATTCATGTATGTTGTAAGAGGAACGGTGTCGCACAACTGCACCGTCAATGGGTTGCATTGTGAATGAAAATGTATTCTATGGAATTCTGTCGGGAAACACCCACCACTTTGGAATACAACTCATTGCAAATAGTGCGGATATTACTCATGTCGACATAGCTTCTGGTGGAGTCTGTGCGGATGTGAACCGCTGTGGTTTTAAGATATTAGATATTTCGCTTCGAATGTTATTTAGGCTTTTCCTGTGATTGTCGAAATGTTATTTATCGCATTTATTATTAAGAGAAGTTGAGCATTTTGTAAATAAGAGCGACAAAACCCATTTCCAAATCATACGAAATCTCTACTAGAAAACCCAATGTACGATATCGAATAAATCATGAGCCTGGGTTTATGATCACTGTCAATTAGTGATGATGCCAGGTGTTCGTGAAACAATCCTTCTGTCGCTGAACAATTTTCAACACGAACACGAGTCTGTGTTATATTAGCAATGTGTTTATCTGGACGAGTTCACTTGGAAAGGTAACATCAAGAATAACAGAGATTATTTCCTACAAACGTGGTAACTGTTTCAGTGTGTATTACAATCAAACCCAACAGGTATACTATACAACCAAAATGAACATGATTTAAAGTGGGAGGTGTAAATATTTACACAGCAGATGTAATTCAAAATGTGGGATCTGTTTCAGCACAAAATCAAAGATGAAAGCATTGATACATACATACATAAGTACATTCGATGTCATTCGACATCCCACATTTCAGATTGGGTTTCAATTACGCAATAGCACCGGTGATTTCCAAATTTCAACTCACTCGCGACTTCACCCTAATCCACCCGACCTTGCGTCAACTTACACGATTGCGTCATTCAGGAAACACGTGGTGCTTAGTCACGACTGTACGTAATACAAAGTCTATTGTTCGTTATAAGTACATATACAGCATGACTACAGCAAGTAGTCGGGACCAAACAGTAAGTTCGTTATATCCGTCAGTTCGTTATAAGCGTGTGCGTTATAACCGTAGTTTACTGTACTTGTGAAACCGCTGATAATCCCCCCGAGCAATATAAGGCGGAAGCTCATTCTGTCCACGCACACACATCAGTGACGAAGCAGCTGTACTAGCGAGCGGACTGAGAGAGCGTTTGATCTTACTTACAGCAAAATACAGCGAGAAATGGAGGTTATGAATAACATAGTACCACGACTTATGGTGGATACACTACCATCGCGGGATCTACCTGACTGTGTAGACGATGATGTCGAGACAACGGCCTCGCATATGGAGATAATGAAGTCGGAGGAGAACAGACTGGCGTCGTTCAATGACTGGCCCGCGAACATGTCACAACAACCTCGGGATCTGGCTCAAGCAGGTTTGTTTTACACACACACTGACGATCGTGTTCAGTGTCCCTTTTGTTACGGCGTATTGAAAAAATGGCTGCCAAGTGACTCACCATTATCCGAACATTCTAGACATTTTCCACAGTGTCGTTTTATTCGTGGTTTGAATGTCGGTAATATTCCTAGAATGTCGTTAAATATGCCGCCATTGAATCAGTTGTCTCATGTCAATACTACAGTTTATAGACCTTCGCCGTCTTCGCCTGTTAATATCATACCGCCCCATAATACTTGTATTGTTACTGGGAGTGAATATAATACTGGGAGTGGCTATAATACTAGGAGTGTATATAATACTGGGACCGGCTGTAATACTGGGAATGGCTGTAATACAGGAGCTGTGCACATACATCATATTGTAAGCCCTAATAGAATCCCAGATGATGCAGACTTAACAAAGGAGGATAACAGACTAGCAACTTATACAGACTGGCCGAAAAGCTTGCACCAAACGCCCGAACAGTTGGCCAGAGCCGGGCTGTATTTCTTCCCGAGCGAGGAGAAGCCGGACAGAGTGAAGTGTGCCTACTGCCATGGCAAGTTATATAACTGGCAAGCAGGGGATGACCCGTGGATGGAGCATGCCAAATGTTTTCCGACCTGCCGATACATCACACTGTGTCTAGGAGCAGACATTATTAGAGATCTACAGACTCCAAGCCACGCTGCCAGCTCAAGTAGAAAGTAAGTATTAAATGGTTTGGCAAGAAGTGGTATCCCACTTTCCGTTTCCAAATACGTGCCGTACGTCACTCTAACGGCTAGTTTCCATATGGCTTCGTTATAATCAGATTAGATGAGCAGCATGAGTCCGGACTAGTACAAGCAGCAACGCTCACACACACGTGCATGCACGTGGCTATATAAGTGCAATAACCCCCATTAAATCCCATTTCACATCACCTTATAACAAGGGATATCATGGTAATATATCCTTATAAGCACAAATATGAACACTGAAGAATACGTTGGAAGTATTCCGGAAACGTCATATAAAATCGAATTTGCTTATCACTCCACGGAATTAAAAAAAATACCAAAAAAGCTAAGCAACGTAAACAGTACGGAATATTTAAAAAATCTGTAAGGAAATGAAAAAAGTTACCGTGTGGCGTAAACGCCCCCGACTAAGGAGTTTAGAATAATGAGACACGCGATACGCACTGGTTTGTCACGGGTTTCATAGGCGACTAAAATAACATTTTACAGAAAACTGATAACATAGCAATACATCATTTGTATTCCAACTACATTTGCATGTACAGCTTCAGCTTGTTACGAATTGTCACCAAATATGGATGGGTAATGTGATATTCAAACGTATGACGCATGTATATTATCGTTTACTGAATGGTAATATTATACATGTTATCTTTGCGAAATGAATTCCATTGTTAAATAGAGCTATAGATATCGTTAACCTGATCTAATTGATTTTGTTCCAGTGTTGGCGGAGAGACACGGGTATCCTCACCATCTACAACCGTAACACAAACCAACCGTCCTGTAGAGACGACTGCATCAACCGTGCCATCTTCAACACGTCCTGTGAACATGAACACCAGAACCCCAGAGACACGCACTGACGACCTTCACGTATACCTGCGAAGCGAACCAGTACAAGCGGTATTAGAGATGGGTTTTGGGGAAGATCTCGTTACACAGACTGTGGAACAGTGCTTGCGAGAACGATCCGGAGATTTACCCCATGCAGCTGAGCTTGCCTCAATGGTGATGGCTTTAGAGGAAACACCAGCTGCAGCTGCAGCTGCAGCTGTTCCCGTGCGAGCTCCGACGCCTCTACAGAGATTGATCGCAGCTGGGGGTAGACAGACTCATACCATCCCTGCCACACCTGAAACAAGTAGGGTATCAACTGGAGGTGACCAGGCATATAATACAAATAAACTTAATACATCACATCATGCAACTGGACCGACATGGACACATTACAGAGATCCTGCCCTTAATCCAGCGATAATTCGAGAGGAGAACACTCGACTCAAAGACAAATATCTGTGCAAGGTTTGTTTTGAGAATCAGGTAAGGGTGACCTTCACGCCTTGTGGCCACTTGGCTTGTTGTGGACCCTGCTCCATGGCAATGTCAGAGTGCCCTATCTGCAGAACAGCGATTTCTGGATGTGTGCGTACATTCTTCTAATCCATGTTCTTCGCACAAAGTCAGGCTGGTCTGTGAAACTCCTGTATCTCCATCCACAAGATCAGACGCTGACAAGCTGCATAGAGGGTAGAAGGCAAGCAGCGGAGGATGACGTATGGAAATCTAAAGTTAAAAACAACGAAAAGATAAAGAGAGGGAAAGTCGTTCACATGATTAGAAAGGGAATGAAAGAATGAGATATCCAGAACATGAAACTAAGGAAGGACTTGTAAACCAGAACAAAGAACTACGTGTTAAACGTTGTAAACAATGAGGAAAAGCAAGTAATACAGGAGAAAAAAAAATGAAACACGCTGGCACAATGATGCAAAAGTACCTTGAGATGAATATATTATGGAGACAGGGGACAACCCAGTTGAAGCACCATCAACCTTGAATCACACACAGCACAGAAGACCGAGGTCTGGCAGCCTTCCCAGAAAGATGGTAAGATGACGTGGAAAGTTCCATAACGTGAAATAACAATTGCAAAACACACACACACACACACACACACACACACACACACACACACACACACACACACACACACACACACACAAACACACAGAGACAGAGAGAACCCTGCTGCTATGTACTGTTTGTATTGTCAGCAAACATCGTTCTAGTTGTATTATATTCACAAGAGAAACAAGCAAAGTGATCTAGCGAGGTTGATTGATCAAACCAATTATGAAATTAATGACATGACAAGTTGGTTTCAAAGGGGTTTGGAAGAGACAGTATCAAGACATTTTACTTAATTTTATAGTGTTCGATGTAGTTTTTTTAGGCAAAGGTTAGTTTTGCATAACCAAACATAGGCTATGTAGTAAAATGGTTCAAATTGAGTTGACTAATATACAAGTATTTGCAATGTCTAGAAACACACAAACTTTGAAACAAACATTCTGTGTGTATGTTTAATTTTGTGGATTATATCTTGCACCGAACCATAAAAATAATGGTAATACTTTATATAGGAATATTAGTAGTTTTAGAAAACGGTTTACTTGTAAAGACGTGTACATGCACGAAATGCATCACGGCATAGTGTGTTGTGAACATGACGTGTGTGTGACAGGTGTTTCATTATATCAACCTGCCAACACACACGCTCCATTAATATTTCATTATATATATGCATGTTAACAACAGACACCCAGCCTGTGGTGGCATGTGACATCTCGCTGAGCTGGGACAGGGCAAAATAATGTAAATGAGGTTATTTTCATATTGTTGTATAACGACATGGGTTGTATAAAACGGTCTGTGAATGTATACAAAATGTAATACTGGGATGAACTAACGGGTCAACTGTACAATATTGTATTGAATTCAGTTGTATTCTTATCACAGGCCATAGTTTAAATCAAATATACCTGATATGTCCGACAAAAAACAATACACATTGCTTGAAAAATATAAATTTGAAAACCCAACGACGCGGAAGATGTTATGATTAAGCAAACAATAATATGTTTCGAGCTAGGTTACAACAACATTATTTGTTTGTTTGTTGTTTACCTCCGCACTCGGCAACACTCCGGTTATACCCAACAACCTTACATTATGTTTATGATATATATTCTTTTCATTACAGATCCGTATGGTGAAGCATTGGCTGTCAGAGATGCGGGGTTTCACATACAATACACGCAGACATTAACATAATCACGGAAGTCGGTAAAGATATAAGACACGGTACGGTGGAGATATGATCCTGACACACGTGACAAGGAAACGTTACATTTTGAGTAATCACAAGACCTGTCGTGTTGAATTCCTAGTGACAAACAGCCATCACGTTACTCACGAGGAGGTGACTACCGTTTTTTTATATACCACATGATATTATTTATTTGTAAATCCCGACATGTGTGCAATATTGGACTTTCGACTCTGAACTTGTCACATGCTTTCACACTTCACAATAACCCGCTTGCACTTTGCGTCTTAAGTGCCTAGTCTTTGTTCTCCATATATATAGTCAACTGTGTCCCCAGTGACACGTTTTCCCCACGTCTGTTAGTCAACTGTGACTTTAAATCTGTGTGATAAATTTTAGCAATTTCTATAAGTCAACTGTGTCTTGATTGAAACAAAACTGTCCATGTAAGTCAACTGCATGTGCCTTTATTGATACATTTTCTCAAATTGTATTAGTCAACTGTGTCTTCATTGATCCATTTTCTCAAAATCTATTAGTCAACTGTGTCTTCATTGATCCATTTTCTCAAATTCTATGAGTCAACTGTGTCTTCATTTATTCCTTTTCCCAAATTGTTCATTTCTACGTTAGTTTCTAAAATGACACTTACATATATTATTATGTTAATGGGCCTTTTACACCCACGAGTTTCATATCGCCTAATAAAGATAGATAAAATTGATATTAGTCAGGAGTCACAGTTAATATTTCACGACAGGAAACTGGTGCTGGCGTAATGAGATAATTCGCAGTATCAGTACTGTACTGTTTATCCATGTTTATCAATATGTTGCATAATTGATATTGATATTGTGATTGATATTCAAACAATGGGAGTCGGGGAATCTCAAATAGTGGGCATTAAAGATTTGCTTTAACAACAGATCGTGTATATATTTCACTGCATTATTTTTACCAGGTTTACATTGAGGAGTAGAATACGATCCGTTCAATATTTATACTATCTAATCAATAGCTTGGTATAGTATTGTATCTGATATGAAGGCACCTGTACCCGGCGATGTATAGCTGTACATGTTTACAGTCACGTCTCAACTACAACGAAAATGTACAGTTCTTTCACTCTGTAAATAGATATACCGACCACGCTAACAGATTGAAATAAATGTAAAAACTAAAAATTCTCATTTGTGACGCTATACATCAGTAATCATGTAAATATGCTCGGGAAGGGCTACCGTCGTGAAAACGTGTGCCCAATCCTTTTCCTTGGGAATAAAATATGTTTGAATCAAATACAGTCCCGTAAAAACGTGTATACTGTCTGATAATTCCACAAATAAGGACTATTAAATGTTTTTAACAAATTCTAAAATCTTTATTTTACTAGAATATGAGGTTTATATATCGACCTCCTACACGGTTGTGTAATCTACAGGAAAACCACAACGTTAACATTAAGTATGAGCACAAGGAAACTCTATTTTATCCAGTTTAACAAGTTTGTTTGAAATACAACCGAGCTTACGCCCCATTACATGGCTGCTTTACAAGTATTCCCAAGTGTGACGATGTATTTGATGGGTGTTTCCAGGTTATACAGCTTGAATTACCCATCTGTACACGTTTCATCTGAAGGCGTACACACCGCCAAATGCGTGACGTATTGTGTGGACTTAGACCAGCCTAGTAATACAATTGTACATGTATTTAAGATGTATTTTCCATGTATGTCGCAATTCCCGATGCAGTGACTCCCTTCAAGGTTTGTCTATCCGGAACCTCCATCAATCAGATTACGAGAATACAGGATAACTGGAGTTGACCCAGTTTCATTGATATCATCCCAACGCGGGAAGGAAATTCATATGATGTATATAGTGCATGATAGCATTTCCCTGAGGAAATTGGTGCTTGAGGGAACTTGGTCGTGGGCAAATAACTAGGAACTTTAACACACATGGATACCCACATACATTGTTTTTAAGACTATCTTCCAAGTGAAATACAACATTATCAAATCAATCATATAGTAACCCGGAAACCGGTTTATTCGCAGGAAGGACCCTACGAAGTCGTGCGATTTCTTCTCGAAATCAGTCATGCAAGTGTCTTGCTTAATCCGGATTAAGAGGGGGGTCGTCTCCAAAGCAAAGATCAAATATTCACGGTTCACTAAGTTCGATGTGTTCTTACAAAGTCGACCTGAGCGTATACATTGATGTACATCGCGGTTAAAAAAAAAGCATTTGCTTGACTGGACCTCAGAGGTTGTGATATGCAGACACCAAAGGCTGGACCTTCTGGAATATTGCTCAACATAAAGATTGACGTCAAGTGGAAGTCAATCTCTTGTTATACAGCCATGTGGAGTTTTGCATGCATACAATAAACTTGAAGGGTTATTCACATTGGACGAACCATTTGAAATGTAGTTAAAAAGAACAGTCAGATAAACTCATTCCAATCATTAAAATGCTTTCTGAAGCTCAAAAGGAATTCCGAGCTGATTTGCTTGTCACTCAATTCGTGTCCCACGCCCAGCGATGACACCAGTATTGTATGTGTTGACAAAGGCGAACATATCGAAGTATTTGCGAATTTTTCAATGTTTGAAATGGAGCATGTTTACAGCTTTCCACATGCTAATAACATTCAAAAGAATCATAACCGCGAATAAATGTGAAAGTTTGACTTCAAGTTTCGCACGCATTTTCCTTGTGTTGTATACAATAGTGTAACTTTTGAATGTGACCAGAAACCTTCGGTATATATATAAAAATACTGGCTGTCCAGTTGTGATTCGGTCGCTTTACGGTCCCGATGATCTCTATGACACCAATGAATATGCGTAATATAACCACCAACACTGCTCACCAGAGTGTGTGTTTGGGCCTAGAAGAGGAGAGTGACCTGAGCCTGGAGTGTGTTTTGGGCCTAGTAGAGGAGAGTGACCTGAGCCTGGAGTGTGTGTTTGGGCCTAGAAGAGGAGAGTGACCTGAGCCTGGAGTGTGTGTTTGGGCCTAGAAGAGGAGAGTGACCTGAGCCTGGAGTGTGTGTTTGGGCCTAGTAGAGGAGAGTGACCTGAGCCTGGAGTGTGTGTTTGGGCCTAGAAGAGGAGAGTGACCTGAGCCTGGAGTGTGTGTTTGGGCCTAGTAGAGGAGAGTGACCTGAGCCTGGAGTGTGTGTTTGGGCCTAGTAGAGGAGAGTGACCTGAGCCTGGAGTGTGTGTTTGGGCCTAGAAGAGGAGAGTGACCTGAGCCTGGAGTGTGTGTTTGGGCCTAGAAGAGGAGAGTGACCTGAGCCTGGAGTGTGTGTTTTGGGCCTAGTAGAGGAGAGTGACCTGAGCCTGGAGTGTGTGTGTTGGGCCTAGTAGAGGAGAGTGACCTGAGCCTGGAGTGTGTGTGTTGGGCCTAGTAGAGGAGAGTGACCTGAGCCTGGAGTGTGTGTGTTTGGGCCTAGAAGAGGAGAGTGACCTGAGCCTGGAGTGTGTGTTTGGGCCTAGAAGAGGAGAGTGACCTGAGCCTGGAGTGTGTGTTTGGGCCTAGAAGAGGAGAGTGACCTGAGCCTGGAGTGTGTGTTTGGGCCTAGTAGAGGAGAGTGACCTGACCTGAGCCTGGAGTGTGTGTTTGGGCCTAGTAGAGGAGAGTGACCTGAGCCTGGAGTGTGTGTTTTTGGCCGAGTCGAGGAGAGTGACCTGAGCCAAGGATCAAATCATTCTATATTGAAGTTTTGGGGGATTAATTTGAACCTGCTACACCGGCACCACCCACTCGATGCCAGATTATATAAACACGAACAGTGGACAAACAATAATGGAATACAGGGACCTAGAATCCAATCTCGTGGACATTTCCCTGGAAGCAATCCAAAATATTTTCCTTTTACACCTCGGTTTCGGGATAAAACTTGAAAGCAAACAAAATAGTATTCGGAATATTCTTCATTAAATGTTACACTAGAAAGTGAAGGGCCAGGGTCAGCATCGACATGCACTGCAACACTTCCCATATTACAACCTGCAGTTTAACACAGAGCTAAACTAAGTTCCGTTTGTATGATGTGTGACGTATGTATGAGGTGAAAAGGGTTTCGGGTCGAGTTCCTGATTATTTCATTTGTCCATGTCTGGTGTCCGCCGCCGTGATATTGCTGGAATATTGCTAAAAACGGCGTAAAACCATACTCACTCACTCATGCAGCACACTCTAAAATATACAATAAAGGTATACTATTTTGGATCACAAGAAGTAACGAAATGGAAATTGTCAATTCGCGGCAGCTAAGTCGTTCAGTTTCACAATCACCATGTCGTAATTAACCGATAACTGAGGCGTAGTAACCCTATAACTGTGACGTTACGAGATACGTATGTAACGATATCGTTGATATCCAATATCAAAGTCGTAATTAGGTGACACAAGAGCTACGTCGCAGAAACGATTTATCTTCATTTTAAGTATATCAAAATATGTAAGTACTATTTCGTAAATACGCGATAGTAAAATCGCACTGACTTCCCTACGTAGGACGCATTTTAAATCTCTCAAACCTGTTCCATCATTTGGCAACTAGTATCTAAGATATTTATATGAGAACTTCGTTGCTTTGATTGTTTATTAAACTGTATGTGTATATTTTAACCAGCGTCATGCTACCTTTGCTAAAGAATTGTTTAATCAAAGTTACAACATTCAAAGCGTCAGTACACCTTTCATAAAGTTTTATGGTAGATATGTCGAGGACATTTACCAATTTGATGCTTCGGTGCCCAAAATGATGGCCAATGCATTTACTTGTTTTACTTGTATCATGTGTTCATATATTAATTGAGTTGCCTTTGCACGTGTTTGTGATGGGTTTCACCAGCCAAACACTGGTGCTAAATGCATCCCACAGATTAACTGAACCATATACTAATAGTTCGCAACACAAAGCAAGCAGAAGAAATTCTAAATAATAATTCTCATGACACACGCACAAAGTAGAACACTGAAATATTAGGCAAGGAACAAAAGGGCGAACCAAACACAAGCTGTTATAACAATAATGTTTCAAAGACATTGAATCATTAAGCTTGATAACGGTGTAGCAAATCCACCGAAACGTCGCTATATGCAAAAAAAAACAGAAATTACTATCCATAAAATGGCATGTTTTCTTACTTAATCAACTTCTAGAAAGGCAATCCAACAGTAAATTGAATCATGTTACACTGACGTTCTTTAACAAATTGCAAACAAAATTAGGAAGGTTTAAAAAAAACAAGATCCCCATATACAGAGTAATGTGCGAGGAAAATGTTGAAATTGATACGTGGTTGATATGCCATGGACTACACAACATCTTGTCTTGGGACAACTTTTAGTAAGGTCAGTTTGAAAAAGAAATTCAAAGCAAATTTGGAAAATACACCCAGTTTACAGCTGCCCAGCTAGAAAACTGAATCAACACTACTGCAAAATGAATGCAATCCATCATGTTTGTTCTTGTGAAAAGTTGTTAACCACTTCGTCAAAGTCAATATCAAGATCTCTGTGGAAATGAAGCAGTGCTAGTACATTAAGCCACACGGTTACCATTGTTGACCTGAGATATGATTTGACACGTCTCAATGCAGTAGCAGGAGATTCTGGCAATGTGACAAGTGTTTTGAAGGTAACATGAATATTTGGATAGAGAAAGTCTTTTGCAAATGTTGCTCATAGCCACGATTGTTTCTCCCGTGCTGGGACATATTGTCAGCGTGCTTTCTAGCGCCTGATTTCAACAGTTTGTTGCTCGGGTGTATAGTGTTGTCAATGAGTATAGTTCAATGAGCTGTCTGAATATTCTCCTGCCTATATGATGAGAATATGGAGTGAACTAGGCACGAATACTGTATTTCAAAACGGCCGTTGGGACAACTCAGCATCTGTGACATTTGCCGGGACATATGACCAAGCACGATATAGTGACGATTTCTCTTCCAGTACATTTCTGAAGTTGATCCAGTGGCATTGCCGCGCACCACTTGATGTCCTACACACCTTGGCATAGTAGGATCAATGTCATATCTATTTGATAAATCGTAGACATCTTTGGATAGCTCTTCCCGTACAGTGATGCCTTCACGAATTTGTCTCTAAGAACTGATGACAACTGAGGCCTCGCTTGAGGCTCGAATGAGATCAGTGGTTGCCGACTACAGCATGAGCGGTTGCTGGACTGTGTATTCGATGATGTGCTGTGTAACAACAAGGCCTATGGTGAAATCCAATGATTGAATGATCATCTATATACGCCACCATCCTGTTTTACGGCCGTAAGAATATGAACGAATATGAACAACTTGCCCAGCGTGTTTCACAAATTTTAATTATCTTTCTTCAGGCATGTTCATTCGGTTCCAATTCTTCATTGAGAGCCACGAGGCGTGTTACGGAATATGAAAAGGCACAAGCAATGTATTGAACAGCTGACATGATCATGAGACGTACAAATCGTCAGGATACTGACGTCCACTAATAACCTGAGTGACCACTCTTTTTTGAGACACGATCATAACCCTGACCCTTATGAAGTCTTTGTTAGCACCGTATTTGTCTAATCCGAACACAAAAACGGGTGCCCAGAAGCTGCCTCAATGTTCAAATATGCTGTAAACTACTCAGTTACACGTGTCCTACATGGACCCTTCAACCAACCATAAAAAATCCTAGGTTGAAATTTGGTCGCAATGAAATCAAAATGGGGTTATGGATGTCAGAGCCGGGCGCCGTTATGACTTAGCATTGAACTGTGGGTAGGAGAGTGAGACCCATCCGTGACAGAAGCTTTGCAGAACGTTTACTTCAAATTGTGTTTAAATCATAGGGAAGTGTGTTTTTAATCTTGCCTGGGGTTTCAAAGTTCCAATGCGTATGCGCAACAAAAGACAAAAACAAGACATTGTGTTTCTGCTGCAGGAAGGACGTTGAAATTGGTACGTTTGGGAAAAGTGCACTAAAGTCTCAAAGACAAAGCAGTCGTCACCAGACACAACTGACAGTCATTGTTGTGATTAAATTGAACCCTGTATAAACCATTTGTAAACAATTGTGTAACACTTCTTTATGCACAGGGTGATACACCAAGAAGTGGAAACATTTAATTACATTATGTATTATTTTATTATTATATTTCAGTTTTAACATTGCTTTTTGATTTCCTTTATTGGTGTGTGGGACATTCAAATTTCAAATTGAAAACACTTGCTCTTCTTGCCACGTCGAACGCCAATGAACATGGCTAGGTTATTGTCGATAACAGTAGGTACTATCTTGGAAGAGACTTGACCATATAGTCTTGTCTTTTTAAGTTGTTTGTCAGGCATATTTCCATCCTATGTACAACTGGGGCAGTGTCAAAATATATGTCGTCACATTATTGGAACCAGATACTGAGAATGTCGCAATGGCTCGGAATATAATCGGAATCGTACAATCGACTCTACTTTTCAGCAGAGACTTGTTATGAATATGGAAAACTTTTTGTCGATATTAAAATCTATATACACAGATAGTACGTGTAGTAA